AAGATTCAGAGTCGGCATAGCTTGGCAGGCTGGTTTCTCAGTCAGACCCAAACCTCGTTCATGACGTCTGGTTTCAAAACGCTAAAGAGGAGATGGCGAAAAGACTGAACTCAAGGCTTAAAAAATGACTTCACAAACAATTGAGTGACATCACGTCACCACGTCCATCTTTTATATACAGGCTATGTATTCATGGCACTAATTGGTTGTCCTTTTCTGACAGAAATGGCGAGTTAGTCCCACCATCGTGCGTGTGATCTCAGCTGTCCTGTCCATCCTGTTGGGTTGTGTGCTTTTTGTTGCGCTGCCAATCTTCATTTTTCAAGAGGTGGAGGAGTGGACCCTGCTGGAATCAGCCTACTTCGTCGTTATCACCTTGACCACAGTGGGGTTTGGAGACTATGTTGCAGGTATATAATCAACCACCCACGCTGGCTTGCAGGGGTGCACACTGAATAGGAAGGTGGAAATGGAAAAAGGCCATCTGTCTCAGTATTATTTTAGTTCAAGCGGCGGCCCTTTATCATTCTAGCTAGTTACAAGAAATGGCTTTGGTCTCTGTTGATAGTTCCTCCCTTTATAATAGCTTGATGGGAGGTGATCCCCACCACCCCCTCACCCCCACCCAATCCATGTGTTTTGATACTGTCAAAGTTTTTAAATGGCTCCTTCTGCTTGTTCTGACATATTTGATTATTATAAAACTTTATTACTGATAAGCTGACATTTGAAACTTTGATGCTTTTAGAGGCGGACTTTATTTCAGTACCGGATAATCAGCTGTGCTATTTATTCGAGAGCAGTTCGTCGTGTAAATTGTGCAATAATATGTAACTAAGGCTTTCGACAGCTGGAGGAACAACACAACAAAAAATACAGCATGAGAGAGGCGGCAGTAGGGATAGGCTCCAGCCCCTCCATGACCCTAAACTGGATAAGTGGGTGGGTGGATCTGGTGTCAGGTTTTTCTTCAGACAGTCGGTGCTCACCCTTACTTCATGCAGAGAGGACAGGTTTATTTCACCCCTGAGGTCACATCAGACCACCAGTATCTCCCCAATAATTAGTCTGCCGGATTTTTTTCTGCTTGTTTTTATTTTTATTAAGATGAGATCCTTTCCACTCTCCACACCCTGTGCACCACCACTGATGCCCATAGCCTGCCACTAGTGTACATCCTGCTTTATTAAGCTCTATAAAAGTAATGCAGCTGAAACACAATCATAGCTTCCAGGTCAGTATAGCTTATATCATTTACTTTTTCGTAGTTTTCTTTTTCGTTGAAGGTATTGATCTGTTGATAAGTAGGAGCTATGACTTAATTAGTCATCCATAAATATAGCTGTCAGTCGTGGTGCATTAAGTTCTCTTAGCGCGGACAATGTCGTAAATTATTTATGATGATTTTCTTCACAGATGAATTATTGATTATCTAGTCTGCTATCTTAACAGTTTATTTACTTCATGGAAATGGATGGCTTCATGGGCGGATGTGTGAATGCGCTGGCCCCTTTTTACCTCCTGCTTCTGTATAATGTGTCTTTGTGTCAAAGGGGATTCGGGAATGGAAGGCAGCGACCACTGGTACAAACCCTTGGTGTGGTTCTGGATCTTGTTGGGGCTTGCATACTTTGCATCTATCCTCACAATGATTGGTAACTGGCTCCGGGTTCTTTCAAAGAAGACCAGGGCTGAGGTACTCCCGTTCTTTTGTGCCTGTTTTATCACGTGCTGTCTCCACTACTTCCTCTCCATCATCTCTGCTTTCATCCTTTTCCTTTCAGATGGAGGAGTTGCGAGCCCACGCCACTGACTGGACTCAGAACATCCAAAATATGTCGGTGGACTTTCGCATGCCAGGAAAAATTGATGACCCCTTTAAACGGCGTAGGAGAAAGCGCCGCCACGGCCCTCGAAGCCATGGTCACAGTGTATCAGCTAACGGGGTGCCTGAGGGGCAAGAAGAGCAGCGTGAGAGTCAGGAAGAGTCTGGGTCATATTCTTCTTCATCATCGTCCTCCTCTAATGAGTCAGGGTCTGGATCGGAGACAGATTCTCAGGCCACTCAGACGGAGCGAGTCCCAGAAGAAAAGCCTGCAGAACCCAAACAGGAGGAGGCTCCTCCTGACCCCCACATGTCCCAGCCTCTGGACTACTTTGGTGAAAACCTTGCATTTATTGACGAGTCCTCGGATACTCAGAGCGTCAAACTACATTTGGATCCCCTGCTAAATCCAACAAAGCCCGATCCCCGTCAGCCAAAAAGGAGACGCCACAGAAGGCCAGTTCCTCAGAGGAACCACAAAAACAACAGCCCCAACAGCACTAACAAGAAGGAACCCAATAGAAACCCCAGATCCGTTCCAGATTTGCCACCCAAGCCTTGTGAATGATAGCAAATGTATTGAGTCTCGTTTGACAGAGAAGTTTTAATTGTAGAATATATAGTGCCTGCATACAGACATTCAAGATAAAAACAAGATGTCGAAGCCTTAGCCACGTGTGGTTTTGCATTTAATGTTCTTAGCATGTGAGTGTTTATGCCTCCCTTAAAGGTGATGAAGAGATTTTCATGCCAGTGTTCCCTTTACTTGCTGAGGAGTTACTGCTCTCTAGTGGGCCAGGACTGAAGTGCAGTACGACTCTGTGAACATGCTTTATGGTAGTCACGATAAACTTTATACACCAGTGTGCTGAAGTGAGGCTTCTCTGATCTGTGACAGTAACTACTGAATCCCTCCAACAAATAAACAGGTACTCGAGGTCCTCTTGTACATTTTTGGTATGTATTGAAATCTTTTTTAAATCCTGTAAACTGCATTATATTTAGATTTTCATGGCCAAATGCATTGAATTCTATTGCACTACGTACATCTGCCTAATAAAGTTGTTTTTAATAAAACAAGAAATGAAATGAGCATTTTATTACCAATAGGCAAATATAGTAATCATCTTATTTATATTAAAAAATATATATTTTCATTTTAACTGTGGGCCCACTATAATAAAACCCCAAATCTCTATAGTAGATAGTGACAAACAGAGACTTTTCTGTCATTAGTTTGTTTATCTCTTACTTAATTCCTTTTTGTAGTAGGAATGGCAAGGAGGGGTGGAGTATTTACCAACAGGAAAAGGTGCAACACATGGAAATAAATTTAAGAGTTCAGTTTTCTTTCTTCTTCACATTTTTCAAAGATTTACAGCATCATCCCCCATCTCTCACGCTTCTGTTCATTCCTGTTTCTGAATTTAAATCCATTGAGCTACTTTGACCGTTCTGTGTAGAATTTGTATGAGTTCTCTCGTCGGGTATTCCAACTTCCCCAACTTAGGTTTGCTGTTGATGCTGTAGGTGTGAATGCTTGTGTGTCTCCTCGTGTTAGCTCTATGATAAACTAGTGACCTGTCCAGGGTGTACCTTACCTTTTGCCCTATGACAGCTGGGGTAGGCTCCAGCCCGCCTTTAACCCTAAACTGGATAAGCAGCTAAGAAACTGGATGAATGGGTTCATTTCAGTTCATTCTCCCTGGAAACGCAGGGAGTATGTAAACAGTTTAGTTTGTTTGTCTGGCTGTTTACCTGTTTGTTAGCAGTCTAGTGTCCACAGTTTACCAGATATCATTTCCAATTTCTGTGTGATGGTAGATACAGGAAACAGCTCAAGGTGATTTCGTTTTGGTGAAAATTCAGTCAATGTGAAATTCAGTAAAAACTTTATAATACCCACGATTTTTACGGATCGTCTTCAACCTTCTCCACAATATACAAGGCCTTGTATGAGGGACACGAGTAACTAGGCTGGCTAATCATTTGACCTTGACCTTCATGGTTGGCGCCCAAGGTCATAGTTGACCTTGAAATAAAGTAATTCAATAAACATATTAAGTAATATATCATATAAAAGGACATAGAGATTACTGTACAAAACACTTTTTATTTATTCATCATTCATCGTTATTTATTTATGACATCACAATGATGCAAGAACAGGCTAATGTTTATGTTTGGTAATCAAGGAACAACGGTTTAAAAAAAAACACTGGTAAAATGAAGATGCTTTTAAAAATTACTTTCTAATTTGAGGGGATGATTTGACTTTGACTTGACTTCCTCAACTGAACAGATGCTTAGTTTAGAGTCAAAAATAATCACATTTGAAGTAAAAGTTTATATTTAGCGTGCAGCCATATTGGCAGAAAACATGGCATATAGCTACAAACAGCAATAAGAAGAAAAAGTATCACTCTAAGCACAATAAAGTAACCCGAGCATTGACTTTAATACATTCTATAGGCCAGGTTAGGCTGGTGGAGACAAAAGCAGGCATACGCTGTCAGACTTGCATATCTCACATAATGCAGTGTATAAATAGCATTATAGCATGGACCTTTGAGTTGTCAGTCTATCCTTTTAAGAATGTGCTGTGTAGCTGCTCATCTGACTCGTGTAAATGATACTCTGTTTGAAATTCTAGCTTGTTTCAACCTGAAAATGGCACCAAGGACAAACACAGTGCAGCAGTACAGTGTGACTGCTGCTCTTTTGTTCTATTTTTTTTTTTTAAAGAAAAGCCGGTGTACCTTAATGTTACAAAATATCAGATAGACAAAAGTTGAGACTGTCACTAATGTAGATACACACCCCTCCTCCTCCTCTTTAGCTTGTTTCTCTCTAAACACGGCCAGCAGGTGGCGCAAACCTTCAATGTCAAAGATGCAACTGTACTTCAACACATCTAATCTGTGACTGAAAGCTGAAATTTCTCCCTCTGTGTGCGCTTGTTTGTGACCACCTAGATGCCACACTTGCAGCCTGCAGTCATGTCTGCGTGGTGAGTAAGTAGAGCGCAGAAAACGACGGAGTGGTCGACTGGCCTTTGGAAATCTGACACTTTCCCCGCAGGATGTCTAAAAAGAAAAGGCACTGTTCTGGCATTGCAATCAGGAAGTCAGGAGACAGCGATGATGTGCAGTGGCAGTGGGTGACCTTTAACTGGAGGACACTTGCTCAGCTGCTATAACGTCATCAGCACCGCTGCTGCAGTTTCCCCGAGCTGCCACCAGGGGTCGAGTGGTGGCCACATGGGTGGGCTAAAGCACGCTACTGGCCTGGATTTAAAGAGTAATTCCACTCTAAATTAAAATCAAAATAAATATATATTTTATTGGATTGTAAATATGTAAGCTCTTCTGTATTCAGGTTTTAAAAAAAAAGAAGAGACACAGACTGTAGTGTAGTGTCAGTTAGAGACATATCCACAAAGCTGCCCCATAACGAGGACACACTGAAGCTCTAGTCACGGTCCGATACAGGTCATTTCAAACAAAACTGACAGAGTTAGTCAGCACTCACATGACCATCCTGAACATATAATCAAATCAGCCTTCTCTGATCTCAGAGAAGATCTCAGAGATCTCAGAGAAGGCTGATTGCGCACATTGACCTTGGTATTCATAACCACTACAACATGGCATGTGCACAGCAGAGCAGCATAAAACATCTGTGAAGAGAATCTTCCCCCTGTGCTCTCTCGCATTTTTTGGTGATGGCTGAATCTGTATGATCAGCTTTTCTTTTCTTTTTTTTTAAGTTTTAAGGTGGATCTATGTGCACTAAATGAGTTCAGCCCCACTCTGGAATCAGCCTGCTACAGCCTGTAGTCTAATAATAAGCGTCTGTAGTATAGGTGGAGACTGTTTTCAGTCAGTCGTGCTGGCTATGACTCACTAATGCAGTGCCCAGTGCCTTTTGTGGATACAGAAAGAAAAAAAAAGAGCTTCTTGTTAGAATTTATGTAGCCTATCAGCTGACACCTGTCTCAGGTCATGACCCCCTATGAGGAGCACCCGCAGGGACCCCATCTGGCATTCACTGTGTTTTTTTTCTATTTCTTTTTTAGGTTTCTGATCCCCGCACATCCACACTCAATGTCAATCACGTGTTTAGACCTATATTATTACGCTAAACACAATCGTACAAACCGCTTTAAACAGATTTGTGCGCAAATCTAACAAACATAGCATGACGGGTTTCGCCTCCAACCGGGTAATGCAGAGTCTGCAGCAGTGTGATGCAGTCCCGCAGACGAATTGCAGTCTCTGCAGCACAGGCTGAATGACCTTGCTTCAAGGTCGCAGTGACACCGCCGTCAGTTTTCCCTGTGAGGCGCGCGCCACGAAAATCCTGCCGCGAGCGCGCAGCATCTATGTAACCACAGCGAGCCTGCTGTCCCGCACCTCGGACACAGCGCTTACTGCTTCAGTTGAAACCAACGTATACTGGGCTATAATTAGAGCCGGATCACGCCGGGCAGCTTTGGGGTGGAGATATCTAAATAATAGGCTACTATGGTTACTCCGATTTCTTTGTCTTTCTTGATTTCCTCCCCCTCCTCTCCACTTTCACCAAACCAGTAGAAAAGCTTTTCAACTCTTTCGTGACAACTCCTCTGCTTTCTTAATGCCAGCTGTTGCCAGGCGTGTTGGGGAGCGCAGGGGGCAGCAGACTATTTCTAGAAGCAGGAGGCTTCTAAGTTTGACAAAAGAAAATCGTTTGTTTTCTTTGCTGTATAATAAAATAGCCAAATAAAGTGAACCTTGGTAGAGCAGGCTTACACAGAAGCCCATACAGGATAACACAGGGGGCGAACTTTGTATTCCAAGCAAGTATTTTTCTTTTCTTTCCTTTTTTAAATTCAGACTGCTATCCCTTAATTATTTTACTTTCTCAACCCTTGGCACAGCTCTCCTCATCTCTTCTTCCTTGGCTCATGTCCAGATGCTGTGCAGCGGCGGAGTGAGACGGGTCAGCGTCACAAGACCAAAAGCATGACTACATTTTCCACAGAGGTCTCCTGGAAAGGACATGCAGCCTCATTCTGTGCCCTATAGCTAATGTGATAATTATAATAATAAGGCATGTTACAGGAAGCCATTTTCGTTATGGTGTTTTAAGCATAAAGGCTTTCTGAATATAGGCCACAAAACGTATAATAATACAACCGACCCGTGTTTTTAATCTTACAGCAAATATGAAAGCCGTGGGTTTTTTTTTTCTTTAGTGTGGAAGGGTTCACTGCTATAAAAAGCACTCAATGGTCTGAAATCAACACTTTGAAGCAGCTCGTCTAAATGAATGAATACACCTTGACTGTACGGGAATTAACGTGGAGTGGGTCATATTTTTTTCACGAGTTGCAGGCCCTTATTAAAATGCGGATGACGCGGGTTGTAGGTGCGTGCAGACGTAACGGAGACCCAGTGGACGCAAATTGTGGCAGAGGGAGGAGAGCAGGCACGAGATCCAGGCTACGTCACTGAGTTCCGTCAAATGAGCGGAAGAAAGCGAGAGGTGTGCCGGAAGTTGAACTGTTAAAATAAAAGCAGCATTTAGAGTTCGTTTTAAGAATATCAGCGTCTCTATCTTTTTTTAAATGTGTTTCGGATTTTGACGGAAAGGAGGGAGACTTTTGTCATGGATTATTTTTTATTTTTGGTCATCTTCCCGCTTGGTAAATGTTTGAAAGGTTTAATATGTCGACGGAGTTTTGCTATGAAATACTCTTACCGGATGTGGATGCTTTTTTGTTGGAGACTTGACGCTAAGGTTCAGCTACAACCTCAGTTGTGGAAGGCGAAGACGGGAATTTTTTAACAGCAGTGGACGGAGCCGAACAGCCGGGCGAAGACATTGTGTCGCCGGTTGTTGTTATCTCCTTTTTTACATGCTAACATCGTGATGCGATGTGAGAAACGTCGCGAGGCTCTTACGGCGCCATTAATCCAGTTCAACTGCCAGTGGACTTGCAATCCGCAAAGACTTGACTGACCTCAAATATTTAAGAACAAAAACGACCCCGTGATGTTTTTACATTTCCTAGTAAGTATCTTGTCTTAGCCTACACTTCCAAGGTTGAGCACACATGGGGTGTTTTGCCCATTATTAGTGTTTTTTGGACGTGGCAGCTGTCTTGACGACAGCCTGATGTGCATGCACGATTTGTCCGAAAGAGCTCTAAGTTCGCCTGACCACGTTAATGGGGATATGGGGCACGAGCCGGAGAATAGTTAATAGCCTACACTGTGGGATAATTTGCAGTGCACGCCATATTTCAAGCTTATAACACATGTATACCTTGGGACTAATTCATGCTTCAATAAATGCTAGAGGAGTCGTTGGTGGTTAGTGCTCTAGTCACCAGTAAGCCACACTCGTTAATGTAGCAAATAAAGAGAAACATGCAGATGATAAGTGTTTTCTTCTGTTTTTCTTTCTTGCATGTTGTTACTTAAACAGCAAGTTCTCATGTGCAGAATGCCCCTCCGGCACTTCTTCTTCAGTTGTTCACACTTTAACTTCTCTTCTGTGTATTTTAATCTCCCGAGTTATCATTCTCTCGGTTTTAACACACCGAACTATGTAAGTTGTCGAGCCTCCTGGGCCAGGATTGAGATCACTGATCTTAAGGCATAATCCACTTCGGCAATTAACCTTTCACCGGTCCGAGATCAGTAAGGCAAGGTCACCCCTGGGTGTTGTTCTCCCTGTCTCCACAGTGCGCCGCATTTAAAACCCTTAAACTGAGTTTAGTGTCGCGTCTGTGAATGTGATGCCTTGTCACTGACGGAGACCTTGCCCCTGACAAAACCACGATAAGAAAGCTTTAAACCGTTGAAGACATAAGGAGCTTGTCGAGGTGTGATATTTGACTTTTTGCTTATGTAATAGAAAGTGTACTTGGAAATCCATATATGACAAGGAGCTGTTTGGGTGCAACAGTCTACTGGGATTAGAGTCTGAAACTGAAACGACTTATAAAAATGAAATTGTCAGCTCTTTTAACCTCCAAACAAAATGGGAAAAGCATCTCAGTTTGTTTTCATATATAAGAGCCTTGCACACTTTTAAAGTTGCTTAAAATAGGTGTCCTTTTTTGGGATATGGCTTTTTTTTTACTTTAACAACTAGATGGAATACTATTCCATTTGGGGTTTTTGTGTTTGTTTTTAAGCCTAAGTAATTTAATTATTTACATAGCTTTATCACCAAACTTAAGCTTATAACTTTGTATGACTGAAAGACAAGGTGTTGGCTTTTCTCTGTCCGCCCTTCAAGCATTCCTGTGACTGTGACCTTTGGAGTGTGTCACGCAGTGTAAAGGGGGAGGGTATGAGCAGTGTGTGTAAAAATCTGGATAGATAGGCTGGGTTATGTATTTTCGGAAAGACAGTTGGTTTTAGGTGTATCCACACGCCTCATTAGAGAAGAAACAAAAACTGTTGGCAGAGCACATGCTTCCTCTGGATCGTGTGAAGATTAGCTCCGCAGTTATTGTTAGGAGCCTGCCAATCATTTGCTGCGAGTTTGCATACATTATGGTCATATTATGAGGCCGGACGCGGTGTCCTTGTGGGGATTTGACCATTCAAAGCACAAAGGGCAAACATGAAAAGCAAACTCTTTGTCTTGGCTGCAAGTTTTGGGAATACTCTCAGAAGCCTTTGCTTGCTTCACAGGTGTCTCAGTAACTGCAGACTTCAGCCCACAGCAATATCATTTTACTGAGCTGTCTTCTGGAGTGAGACATACACAGGCTTCAAGCTCCAGGTCACCAAACAGGTAAGCTGTTCCCACGTCACCTTTTATGTTGATGAAATGTTACACCGTTACGCCGTGCTTCAATTGGGATTATGTGTTAACAAGTGCCTCTTTTTCCTCACAATTCAGTCATTATAAAGGTAGACTTTGTGGTAGACTTTCAGCTGACGCCTTTAGGACATACACAGATATGAGCAAGTTTGTAGAAGGATTCAGGCTGAGCAAAAACAACAGAGAATAATGTTACAGTGCCACAACCTTATTTTTCATTACTTATATATGTTACCCGTATATTATGATGGTTTTGTTGCAGTCATACACTTTCCAGGACATGTTCCTGTTTGAGAAAAGCAGGCTCATCAGCTAAACACAGATACTTCTCTTGGTCTGTTGTCGAAATTATATCATGAGGGCACACACTTGAAACGACAGGCCGTGATTGCTCTGCAAACAGAAAATATGGGTTAGGGAGGGGCAAGAGGTGGCTAGATGACAGAAAGAAAGAACAGCCTGTGGCTCTTCAGTGACACTTTAAATTTCTTTTTTGATACTGTGTGAGGGGAAACACATCTTCAGCAGTATACATTTGTGTGTAACACCAGGAGCTAAAAGTTTAGCTGTCTTCCCCTAGATTATTCTAACTATGTTGTCAGTTTAAGCAAGCTGAAACATTTGATCAAAAATAATATATATTACAGTTTAGAAGTTTAATTGCATTCTTCATTAACAATGCTAACTTATAATTCTGACAATGCCAATCAGATTTCCAGCTGGTAATGAAGCATCTTATAATTATAATTGATCAGTATAATTTGGGATCTTCCTTTACTCCATTCAAAAAATATAGTAAATATATGACGCTTAACTTTTAAAACGAGACATTTACAAACACGCTTTAGTCAGATGACAGTGTGAAAGTGTTACTATGTGCTTAGCCTGCATCGCCTCCCAGCTGTTAGGGAAAGCCGATTGTAGGCCGGCCCATCTCCGCACACAGCCAGCACGAGCTAGCAGGAGCTGGTGGTCTGGATACTGATTTTTCTGCTGGATCTGTGCCATGATAGCACACCGTGGGGAGACTTAACGTTCAGTGCTGCTCTAGTCACCGCTCAGGTAAGATGCAGCCAAGTCCGTGTTAGAGTGACCAAAATAAACCTCGGCCCTAGGGGGAGAGAGCTGGATAGTCAGGATTAGCGTAGGCTAGCTAGCCTAGTTAGCTAACATACAGTTATCATTTATGTATTCGCTACTCTTGAAGCTAGCTCATGCTAACGTTACACCAAACACGCTGGAATTAGTTTACAGCAAACACCACGCGTTTCTATGGCTGATGAAGTAGATAACAGAGCTATTTAGCAGACCTCTTTAGGTTTTACGCGCTGCTTTAGTCGAATCAATGAGTAACCAGAGAGCTATCATCGCATGCTTGTTAACATTTTCTATGAAGAAACCGACATTTCCCAAAGCATTAGTCGAATTGGCCAGCGGTGCACATGGTGACCTGATGATCTGACTCAAGTCCGAGCAAAGCCAAATGACACTGTTCAGTATCTGTGTTTATGTGCTACTACAGGTACTGTCTGGTTGAGCGATTCACTGAGCTTTCAGAGTGAGTCCAGGTAGGCTAAACTTTAAACAGGATAAGTTTCTTTGACGTGTCCGAGGCTTGCCAAACAGCTCTCATATACAGAGAGGGCAAACTCCAAAGAAATTGTATGCCAGCAACCATAGGATTGGGTTATCTGCTGCAGCAATAAGTATGATAAAGGCTTACTTGCTTGGGAAGTACCTACTGACACTGTTAGTAGGACTGACTAACTGTGACTGTTTTTCTCATAGTGTGCTTTCAGTCTGAGGCTCTCTGTTCTGTTCTCAGTGGTTCCCATCAGCAAAGACAGAAAGCTCTTTTCTGATGGTTATGTCTTAGAAGTGCAGTTTGATGTTAAATATGTCTGAACAAGAGGCTGTTTATTATTGACATAGTAGTAATTAGTAGTAATTTTTTAAACTGACAGAGATAAACCACCCAAAGCTGACCAGCCCAGGACTGATGTTTATTGATTATATCACAAAAAGCCTCAGAATCTTCACTGTTTTTGTTGTCACAGTCAGAGAGGCTTACATGAAGAGAATACATTCCTCTCAAGTATTGCAGTGTTTTGTAATTATACGAGACTTGAGTGGATTATCAGCCCACCTGATAAACAAATAGAAAATGTTGGATAATTGCAGTAGATTGCTACTACGTGTGCAAGAGAAACTGAGGGCTTAACTGGATTGAGGCTATTTAGACTGCAGAAATCCTCCTCATTGTCCTCACGCAGTGATCTATTAGTACAGTCATTCAAGTAAGGGTCTGCATTAATGCTTAAAAGGTGAAGCTAAGAGACAGTTCATGCTCACGTTACGGTTACTTTCTCAAATTTCACAATTCAAATCAAGAAAACAAAGTTAGTTTCAGGTAGAATAATAAAATATGTCAAGAGCGTTTTGGTGGCAATTTATCAACTGTCTGTCTTTATAGTGATTAAATACAGGCGTGATCCGCTCTCTTCTGAATTGATGACCCTCGCTTGGGCTGGGCAAAGCGGTGGTCAGTTTGTGCATGCAAACACTCGCCCACCAGTTTGTTAAGTTACGTAAACACGAGAAACCTCAGATGCCCCATTGATATTATTACATTATGTGTCAGAGATCAGACTGCTCTTAAGCTGATTGTCTTATTTTATATGGATGGTTGACATTAAGAACCGTGACATTTGGCTTTAAAACTAAGTTGAGCTTAAAAGCATTACACAGAATTACTCACAGAGATGCAGATTTTGGTATTAGAAGTGCGTGTTCACTTGGGTAATTGAATCTTCTCTTTCATTTTTTTATGTCAAACAACATCTTCTGTGTACTTCTCTCCTTCGCTGGAGTGCATTTCAAGGTGCAGTGCACAGTATGCCATCTCGACTGTGTACTGAGACTCATTAACTTTTTTATACGCTTGAATTGGGATTCATAAACATCCCAAGTATAATGTATTTACTATTTTTGCTAGCATAATTTAAGTTAGAACTACAGACTACTACTTTTGCTTAGTTATTTGAATACAAGTTATGCGATTGAGTGACTTCTTTATAGCACAGTGGCCTTCATTCACTCACCTTAGGCATCTTAATGACTTGAAATATGACAGAGGTCTAGTTCTATTAGGTGCCACGTGTTTTTGATAGCTTTCATTGATAGCTTTAGAAGGTAAGATTATGGCCAATATGATGATCATGATTATTTTGCTCAGCATTAAGGTCATGATTATTTGTCATAATTATTCATTAAGATTGTTGACAATATTTTTGTTGCACTTTCATGCATTTAATTTCACATTTGTACAACTCTTTGCGTCAAAATAAAATTGGACCTACTTATTTATCTAAATTCAGTGTTTTTTTTAGAAGAAACATTAAAAAACTGTACTAAATGAACAGGCCACTGATTTCACTTTTGTGTTGCACCACATTCCTGTTTATTAATGTTCACAAATCAATCTTTGATGACAAATAGTATGAAGTTTTTTACTTAATTCATTGCACCTGCATGATGGATGCGAATAAAACTCAAAGAACTAGATAAACCCTCTCTTTCCCCCCTGCAACGTTTCACATACTCGTCAGGTATTACTACTTCAAGAATCGCTCTTTTGTCCATTATGGTGACCGTTTTCCTGAAGTCTTGCTTACTCCCAGTTTTTGGTGGACACGCGCCTTTAACCAAATGGAACGTGATTGCTTTGATGATTTCAGTGTGCGGATGGATTTGCTGAGGCTCGGTACGGGCTCGCTTTTAAGGATGGCTGAGTTGATGTTGGACAGTTCACTGCAGCAACCATTGCACTATTTATTCATTTATTTTTGGCCTTCATGTCTGTGCATACTGCAGTTTGTGGTTGAATAAGTTGTGTTGCTGAATATGATTTGTTTTTGATTAACCTCTCTAAAGTAGGAAGTAATTCTAGTCACTAGATGATTATCTGCTTTCTGCTGTGCCAGACATTTAAATATTTGTTGTGCATCAGCCATTTAATGAAGTGTTACACATCCAGACTAGTCCAGGAAACTTCGAGCTGCCAGGTGCAGCTGCAGTTGGCTCATGCAGTCACATGTTCAGGCATTGATTTGTGGAGTGCTTGAATTAATTAATTGTTTTAATTGGCGGAGGATGTATTTTAAATCGTGTGAGAAGCCAAATGGCATTTTCTTGTATGTATGTAGAGGACCAGCCACATATGTAGTATGTCAAAGGTGGAGGAGAACTCATAAGCATTTGGAGGGACAGTTTATTTTATGTTTGCATCCTCAGACTCCAACTAGGAAGGTTCATACTTATGTTTCATCATCTGAGAGGGGGTCCCCTTGACCAAAGAAGTGAAAACACAAATGAAAGAGACAACACCACTGGCATCTGGGTAAAATATCCCCTTGCTTCTTATTCAAGCCTCATCTCCTGAGCTGAAGTCAGGGGTCTAATCTGTCAGCAGATTAGACACATGACCCTCTCGTCTCCGGATAGCTGACGACGAGCTCGCTAAACAACAACAACAACAACAACAACAACTGGTTAAAAGCTAACGCTGTGTCAGCTAATGTTAGGCTTGAGTGTCCTAAAGATTGCACTTTCTCTCTGATAAATGGTTTGAGTACATTCTCATGTCATGTATGAGTTCAGAAATATTTGATCCACTTCAAAGAAACATTCACTTATGCCAGCTAACAGACAAATAAAAACAGCAGCGCGTACTGACAGAAAAGTTCAGGACATTCTTAACGGCGATACTCGGTGTTGCTTTTATTGGGCAGAAGTACATTTCAATGACTTATAGATTCCTAATAGACTCATTTCACAAAGTTTTAATCATTCAGAATAAATAGACATGGGCACATATTGACATCTGGTTAAACAACAAAGTGACACCCTGTACTCTCTACAGATGAACGGCGACAAGAGTGTTTGAGATGACTGGAGGTTAAAAATGTAAAATTCTGGAAAATATTTCATTGACACTTATCAGTTTTTTATTCCTGAGTTCTTTCCATGTGTCAATATTATTTAAATATATTCAAATTTAGTCTGTACAAAAAATGTTTTTATGCACCGACAGTAGAAGAAACATGTTCCCAGATGCTCTGCGTTTCCCCATAATGGCTGCTGTTATGGGGTACAGTCTAAACGTAATGTGTTTGTCCTACAGTGGCTAGGATTATGCAAAAGTCTGATCACAGCAGATTGTAGACTGTGATCTACAATCTGCTGTAAGATTTTACACACTGTACTTTTAAGCACATATACATATATAGCTCAGGTGGTAGAGCAGGTCTCCTACTAATCAGAAGGTTGGTGGTGTAGGTCAAACATCTTTGGGCAAGATGCATCCATCAGAGTATAAATGTTGGATAGAAAGAGCATAGAAAAAACTGCTTGTGAGAATGGGTGAATTAGGCAATTTGTGAAAAGTGCTTTGAGTGCTCAGAGTAGAAAAGTGCTATATATGAGTCAGTCCATTTACCATTTAGTTTAGAGAAGGTTAGTTGAGGTTAATTTGATAGTAGATTAAAGCAGCATTTGCATCACTGCAACTTGAATATTTTTCTCTCTGCTGCCTGTTTCCTTCTGATTACAGTGTTTATGCTCAAACCATCACAAATCCCACACAGTAGTGCAAACAGTTTGATGGTTTAAAAAGCTTTAAGAAGGACTAAAGACTGGGGTGGGAATATGGTATTGCTGATGGGAAGTGTTGTAGCCCATGAAGGGGCAGTACACTACTGAGATGTTTATTTACATCCTTTTTTTCTTTGCTTTATCATTTTATTCCTTTTGTTTGTTATCATGAAAATCTCAGAGATATAGATGTGAGTTAAAAGTCTCTGTGCTATTATTTACTTTGACATTTCTTTTTTTCCTTTTGCCCTGCAGACATCATGTCTTCCCGTGAGCGTCGGTCAGATGTCTACATAAAGGCAGAACCAAGTAGTCCAGAGGGAGGCGGGGGAGGTCGGACCAGCCCCGGCGGGGCCTCCTCAGATTCTTCTCATAGCGGAGGCGGAGTGACCCGAGGAGACAATGTTAAACGTTACTCCCCGCCACTGTACACACCAGCTCTGCGCTGCCATTTCAAGGACGAGGGTGGCGATGGGGCAGAGGAGGGCTCCGCTGGAAATGGGGCAGGTCGATGCAAGTACGCCCTGAGCACGCTTCCCAAGAGGCTGTGTCTAGTTTGCGGGGATGTGGCTTCAGGTTACCATTATGGTGTTGCATCGTGTGAGGCCTGCAAAGCATTCTTCAAGAGAACCATTCAAGGTGTGTTGTGGTGAAGTTTGTTTTAGTGACAGGTAAAGCAATTTAAATGTGTTTAAATGTTTTCACAACAAAACACAGAGTATAAAACACGGATTTGTTTTCTAGAATACCGCTAAAACTTCTCATTGATTTTCCAAAGAATGTATGCAGTTTTTAAAATCTTTCATATTGTTGCTTGTTTCTGGGACCTTCATGAACTCCTGACATTATTTCTGTAACTTTCCAGAGAGTGTAACAGAATCACTGTCACACCTCTGTATGAGGATTGGTATAGTCGGAGTGTAGGACATAAAAAAAGAGAAATAGCAGAATGTGTGTGTGGTTGAAAGATAAGAGAGAGTATAGGCACTTGCTTCTTCACGAATTTATTTGTACATTCGTTGAGATTAACATTTTCTGCTTCTTCATACAGGTAACATTGAATACAGCTGTCCAGCATCAAATGAGTGTGAAATCACTAAAAGGCGCAGAAAGGCTTGCCAGGCATGCCGCTTCACCAAGTGCCTGAAAGTAGGCATGCTTAAAGAGGGTGAGTGTTAAAAGCCATGTGTGACCAGACTTTGATTATTATTCCAATATGTTCATTATTGTGCAGTTGCTTAGTTTATTGCTGACCTAAACGAGAACTGCTGTTTCTTGCACAATGTAGGAGTTCGTCTGGACAGGGTCAGGGGTGGAAGGCAGAAGTACAAAAGACGTCCAGAAGTGGAAAACGCAACATACCAGAGTGCTCCTCTACCGCTGACAAAGGAGAGCGAAAAAAGTGAGCTTTAATAAATTGTATTATGCTTTTTTTTTGTGTGTCATGAAATAGCCTTCAAGGAGTTTCTGCAAATGTGGCACAAACGTTCCCTTCGAGTCAAGGATGCACTGATTAGAAGTCGGTCATAGGTCACCGTGGCAACATGAAACACTTTTTTTGGCTATAACTCGTGAATTCTTACACTGATGGTGACTAAATTTCACAGAAATGTCTACTGCATATCACTAACAGGCAGAGCGCAGCCCGGGCCAGGAGTAAGTTACTCATGACAAGAAGTTGAAAGAAGATGAAAGATAGTGATGTAGAAAAAAGGGAGAAATACAGATGAGTATATTCAGCAGTCATGCATATATGCTCAGTTGTATGCTGTGTGATCAAACCTTTGCGTCTGTGGTCTGCTGAGTGGTCTACTGGGTTAAATGGTGAAGCAATGACTGTATTTAACCAACAGATCAAAGGGTATCCACTGTGAGATCCTAAAAGGTCATTTTCATTTTCATCCATTTTCATCCATTATCCACATTCTTTTGTTTTTTAACAGTAGCATAAGCCTTGTTAACGGTTAATTTGGGAGATTTTTTTCCCTTTGCACTGAGTTAACGTTAAAATGTGGATTTATGTGCTTTGAAATGAACATCTTTCTCCTTAAAAATGTAAAGTTTTAAAGCAAAGCTCCTCAGAAAATAAAAGCAACACACAAAACATTTCAAATAAACTGGAATTAGCTAGAAAACAGCTCCCCCTAGTGCCTGATGTGGTCATTGTTAGTCTTCACTCTTTAAATCAGCAGGTCAGGAAATGCTGTAGTTTTGGCTCTGTAGTGATTTTAATTGAATGTAATTTGACCTGGATTGTTCAAGCTACATGAATCTGGCTGTGGTATAAACATAGAATAATGATCATAAGCAGCAGGCAAAGCTGGCAGATCCTAAGCCTATTTTTAAATCCATATTTATATACTGTACATAAAGCGCTGTGTATAATACAGTGAAGAGTAATGGAGATCATCATGTTCAAAATATAGCTGAATGCGTTTGTTTAGATAATGACAGTGCTGATGTTGTTGGTATCAACATGTCTGAACGTATACAGTAATTAATGCATCGTTTGTTGTGTGTTTTTGTGACATAGATTCCTCCAACATCATCGTGTCCCACCTTCTAGTAGCAGAGCCAGAAAAGTTATTTGCCATGCCCGACCCTCTGCAGCCGGACACGGCCCAGCGTACGCTCACCACCCTTTGTGACCTGGCTGACCGTGAGCTGGTTGTGATCATCGGCTGGGCCAAACACATTCCTGGTAAGAGATGCAGAGAGAATAAAGGAGGGGAGGAGAGGCAGCAATAGCATGGCAACAGCGGAAGAGACTTCCAGGCTCGCTGAAGAGCATCAGTCACACCACGACTAGAATATTGATTGTTGTTGTTATGAATGGCCTGCATGAGCGTGGCTCTGAAGGCTGAATAAATTTAAGGAAAATGTACAGTCAAAACAAATCAGTGTGCATTTAATGTCAGAAGAGGATGACCTTATTCTAAGAGCTCAGATGAAATAATTTATTCCCATATGAAGCTGGTTAAAATATCTAAACCATTATTTGGAACTTGGTACCAGTAAACCCATCATCCTCCATTTAAATGTGTCCCTTTCTTTGTGCTTTCTCCTGCAGGCTTCTTGTCTCTGTCTCTGGCAGACCAGATGTCAGTGCTGCAGTCAGTGTGGCTGGAGGTGCTCGTGCTGGGCGTAGCGTACCGCTCGCTCGGCTGTGAGGACGAGGTGGTGTTCGCAGAGGACTTTGTCCTTGACGAGGAGATGTCACGTGCGGCCGGACTGACAGAGCTTAATGCAGCTATTAGTCAGCTCGCTCGCCGATTCCGTGCGCTGAACGTGGACCGGGAGGAATTTGTCATGCTAAAAGCCATCGCACTCACCAACTCAGGTACTTTTACTGCAGCTGCAGCCGAGCAGCTATGGGAACATATAAATCAGAATTCAGTATTTTGACATATCCTTTACTTCTCGCATCTTATGAAGCGTTTTGTTGTAGCTTGTAGTGGTAGGTGCACTGTAACACTGTATATTCCCAGTTTTAAAGGCTAGTCTTCTGCTTTCTTGCAGGTATCCTCACTGTAGCTGAATAACTTACAAATGATCTCTCTGTAGTGTAAATATGATGCGATTTGTTTACCCATCTCATAACCTTTATGTAGTTGTCCCTCAGAGGTCCACCTACGATGAGTGCTAACTACAGGCCCTGCTTGTTGAATAAATAACAGCTGACATTAGTTTGTTTGTAGTCAATTACCGGGCAAGGCAGCCTCTCTTTCTGTGACAAATGCTGAGAACATTTCAACACCCTCCACACTCCCTCACCATGTGCTCCCTGTTGTTCTGTCAGACTCTGTTTACATCGAGGACATGGAGGCCGTGCAGAAGCTGCGGGACCTCCTCCACCAGGCCCTGCTGGAGATGGAATGTCAGCGGCGCCCAGACGACCCCCAGCGGGCAGGACGTCTTCTTTTAACGTTGCCTCTCCTCCGACAGACTGCTGGCCGTGCTCTGACCACTTTCTACAGCATCAAGACCCGGGGTGGGGTGCCCATGCACAAACTATTCCTGGAGATGCTGGAAGCCATGATGGACTCCCCCTAGAGAGAAACGCAGGAGCAGGAGTAGAGCGGATTCAGAGAAAGCCCCAAACAGAGAGCTACTCTTCAAGAGTGGATGTGTGTTTTATGGAAAAGGACTGCTTTCATTTCAGAATTAATAATGAGGAAAGGATCATTATCTCCTTTAGGCCACAGGAAGAAAGGAAAATAATGTGAAGTGGAAATTGGCCATTTACAGAATGATGTAACTGCCAGAGTTCAGTAAAAGCTCTTCACGTGAGAACATTTAACACAAATGCCAGAATATTTCTTAGTTCTAACCGTTTCACGGCATGTTTCTTCACAGCATCGACCTGCAGTTACTTAACCACTGAAGAACAACATGTAGGTACCGAATAACAGACTGCAACCATGTGGCTTTTGAACTTAAAAATAGTACTACATCTGCTCATGAAAAGCCATAATAACATACCCGGCAAAATGCTTGAGAGTCCAACAAGGGGTCAGAATAAAGTGCACACTAAGTGCTTGTATTTACTATAGTTTAGTGTGCCGTTGTAGGCAAGTCATAGGAATTTCTTGCAATATGTTAAAAGCAATATAACGACTCGAATATTGTCTGTCACATTCAAAATGTGGATCAAATGGTGAGACATCTATTTGTATGCCTCGATTAGTAGTACTTCACTCTTGGGACCCCAAGCGCTGCTTTTTAGAAAAAAACAACAAAAAAATCGAGCTTCTAGTAGAAACCGGTTTGGTCAAGGAAGAAAAAAAAAACAACATTTGAGAAAAAACTGCAGCACTTTGGGGATTAAATTGTGAAGTGGAAGCCGCTGGTGTGAGTGCAGCTGTCTTTTTACAAGTTTGTGCAATGGATTCACAGTCCAGGAGAAGTGTATATGAAGACTGTATGCACATAAAATGCTCAGCTTGGAAGTTAATTTATATGTAAAGTGTTGTATGTAAATCCTATTGGCACACAAAAAAAATGGCTTCCATCCAAGCAAGCATGTGTGTTTGTTCGTATGCAGTCGAAACCAATGAGCTACACTGAGATCAGGGACGAACACGGCTCTTGGACATTAAAGCTAGTGTGGCAACGAGCGATTAGAAAAGAAATGCCTCATCTGCTTTTTTTAAAAAATATATATATATACTGCCCTCTCTACTCCACTAGAATCACAGTTTTTGACTTCAGCAGGTGTGTTTTTTGAAGAAAAAAAAGAAAAAAGGTCTGTCCTGTTTGATTTGTGGGCTGTGATGTGTAACACTAATTTGTATGATTGATACGTGTACGTTGAGACATTGCTGTATTTTTCTGCAGTGGTGAAGAATGTTGCAAAGATCTCAGATGCTTTTATATGAGATCAGCTGATCTGTTGAACTTTTGCAAGTGCCCGATTATGGGCTTAGGGCAACAAGAAATGCAACATCTTCCCTTTTGGATGTGTGGAAGTCCTGCTTACTGTTCAGCAGGTTTGTATATTTACAGCATAAATGATCACTGTAGTAAGCTTTCCATGCGATGCAAAGCTACAGTATCTGATAATAAAATCAGATCCCTAAAAATAATATTTAGTGGCCAAAAGGGCCATTAATCTTTTAGCCATGTACAATTCCATTGAAATAAACAGAAACATGCAATTTATAGTGGACAATTTAACAAAAAACTATCAAAAAAACAAAAAAAAAGCCAGCAAATGTGAGAAAACCACCCACCCCCAATTATAATTTTATTTGTGCAGCTCACAGTGTACTGAAATTTGTAAAGACTTGAAACTTGCTTCTTCTTTTTTCATACAATTTCCTTTTTAGGATTTAAGGGTATTTTATTTACATTGTAAACACTGTTGTGGGGTTGGATAAAGTGAATGCTGATTGTGTTTTTAATGTATACAGGTGTGTAAACAGGTGTGATTGTGATTTTAGGGATCAATTTACTTGGCTCTATAGGTCCGGTGGCATGGTGAGGCTACAGAAGGCTACCTCAGGAGGCAGAGTAAGCCAGATGGCCAAAAAAAAACAAACTGTGGAGACAAATGTAACTCGTGATCTGTTGTCAGTTTTAAGAAGTGGGTAGTGGGCATACCGAATGTCCCGCAGTTCATTTGTTTCTGTTTTCTTTACGGAGTGTATGGCTCATAAATGCCTCGTGAGAGAAAGTGTGTGTGTGTGGCACAGTTGATGTGGTGGTAAAGCTAAAACAGTGCAACTGCTAATCCATGGGTGCTACATAAGCAACAGCTGGCACTGTGGAATGGGAAATCTGGCAAAATGTGACACTGATGGATCTGTTTGGTCTTGTTTTCATAAGTTTGAGCTTATATATGTCTGTCTTTTTAAAAAGAAAAACTTGTGTTCTAGCCATGTTTCTCAAACCTTTTTAAAGATAGCAAAAACATAGATGCCGCTAAGTTTCTCCATATTAACGGGTCATATATGCAAAGGTAGATTTTTTTTTTTCTTTTTTTACACTAGCATTTTAGGTACGGCGGGGGTTAGGGTGGAGGGCCATTTGCAGTGTCACTGTTGACGTCATACAGTCATTTGTGGGTCTACTTGCATACGTGCGCATTAATATAAATAAGCAATACAATAAATTTACCAAACCTCACACCTTTCCCTGTATAGCCACGGTGTACATATAAGCATTGCCAGTTATAATTAAGAATAGCTACTAAACGGTATATTATTTAGAAATTCAAATCAATGTTTGTATTTTGAAAGACTATTTAAATGATTAAATTCTATTTTTTACTCAATTTACTGTTGTTTGTTGACACTGCTTTCTTTTTTTTTTGTGTGATACTGGCTGTGAATTTCTGTGTGTAGGCTATTTTTTTTCCCCCCCCCATTTAGATCAAAGTGTGATGTCCGTGTCTAAACATGTCCACATAAAAATCACTGTGAAAAAAAAGTGAGATCTTCCACTGTCTGACACAAAAAGGGAGTGGATTATTGTAGGTGCTTTGTGTTGTGTAATAAATGGACACACCACCACCGCATACCATTGGTCTCATCTCTCCCTGTGGATGTGTATGCATGTGTATTCCTGTGGAGGGGGGGTTATGAGGGTACTGTGATGAAGACCACTGTTCAAGCTGTAAGTGTCATTGTATTTTTGACCATATCGCCTTTGGACATGCTCTTAACTGTTGATGAGTTGGACCTTGCTTTGCCCCCAGGTTTTCTCTTTAGCACCAGTGTCTCTACACCCCCTTTGACTGACCTACATGCCCTAATATTGATTCACTGGACTGGATACAGTCATTTTTAACAAGCTTTATTTAGCAGTGTAGTTATTTAGATTGGTACTAATAGAAAAGGAGTAGATTTGCTGAGGTTTTGCAGTCAGTTTTCAGGATTGGGGCGGCCTAAATGAAGTTTATTGACATACTTAAATGCTAAAATAGAGAAGTGAGGTAACACGTTCTACATGTACAAAACTGATACAAGTAAAGTTAAAAATGAAGTTAAGATATATGAACACTATACATTTCATCAAGCTAATATTAATGTGATCCCCCCACTATAAGAAAGCCTATGACTCAATGCCGCAGGTTCAATGCCTAGAACTTTGCAAGA